CTTTCCTTCTCAAAGCAGCTTTCCTATTATTTTAGAATGCAGTAGAAACGTGTTATTAATTACATTTTACCAAATTAATTTCACTTAAAGCTTAATTAAAACTGTGTGGAAGCTGAATTATACTGGTGTAATCTTGTAAACACAGCAGAATTAGGAGTTGTGTGTGAGTAGCTGGTCACAGAATTGAAAGTATCTGTCCCTGTTGGTTTTTTCAAAAAATATTTGATGAATTTGTATGTTGGGTTTGGTACAGCTCTGTCTATATGACAACGGCCATGTAGTGTTGTAATTTCTAATTCTGTAGCCACTTAGGCCCTTTTTATTGTCAGAGCTGATATTCCTAAATTGGGAGCAGTTATCTTGCTGGCTGAGAGACCTGAGAAAACAAGGAAAGAAATGGGTTCTTATGTCTTATCAAATGCCAGTGTTGATTGTTAATTCTCCCCGTTTTCTGTCGTCAGGTGCTTGCACATCTCTCTCCCGTGGCTAGTTACACTGTGTGAATGTAGCATTAGATGATGATTGGAATTGCAGAGTGTGATTAAAAGGTCATGTTTGATTTATAGCAAAAATCCAATAGGCCATCCAGAGTAAAGGTGAAGGAATTCTTCATGCGTCAGTTAAAATATATATATTTTTGTCTCATTGTCACAGATGGAATGAACAAGAGAGAGAGCACATTCAATCCAGACAGCTGCAAAATGGCCATCAGGTGGCTCTGGATCTCAGCAGTATCACGAACAGAGGTTTAATTCAGACATATTTTCATGCCCCAGACTCCTAGTTCTGATTATCTGTATCAGAAAGAATGCAATTTTTCTGATGCAGGACTAGCTATTACTTTTTATGTTCATGGAATTACACTTAGAGCATTATTTATACACCTTGCTCAAACAAGTAACTGACAAATGTTTTACTCTATTGATAGAGCTTAATATTTAAAACAGATTGCACAGATGTGGTGTTTATCTACAGTGTCACTAACCCAGAAGAAACGTTGAATGTTAAGCCTACTAAACCTTTCCTGGCAACCACAAAAACCTGATTTGGAGATCATAAAATCCCTGTGGCAAAAAACCTGCTGTCTGCTGGCCAAGGAGAGAAAGGGCTTGTTGAGCACTGGGGTGTGCTGGGTAGACTGCTCCAGCTGGATTCCGGCAATAGGAGAAACTGATAGTTTTGCAGAGCTCTTTAGCAGCAGATCTGGAACAGGCCTGGTCAGTAGTTTTTTCTGACAGCATATTTTTCTATCAGAAAGTGCTGTTTTATTATAATTAAAACTTTCTGTGGGAACATGTCAATGAGAAATTGAAATGTTCCTTTCTAAAAATATCAGAACGTTCTGTTTCAAAATTTTTACACTGGAACACTTTGATTTTTATTCCAGAATGATTTTTTTTTTTAAAGTAATTATTTTTGTACGTTATAAAAACAAGAAGTCAAAATTAAAATTGTCGTCGTTGTATTAAACCTTAATGAAGCCTGACATCATTGCTATAGCATGTGGTAAATTCAAGGCAGTCAAGAATCGAGGAGTCTTGGCTTTTGTTACCCTGCTCTGACCACTCCGTCTATGTCTCACTACTTGTGGTCGTGTATGTATGCTCTGTAGGGACAATATGTCAAGAGTGTTGCTATCTTGTCATTCACACGAGGGAGATAGGAGATGGGAAGAAAACTTTATTTTTCTCATCTTTGCATCTTTATTTCTTTTATTTTAGTTTTGCATGAATTACTTAAATAGCTACAGTAATTTAAAGAAAAACTGTTTTGAGCTTATACTCCTTCTAATAATACAGCATGCACAAAGAGTTCCCGGTTATAGCCGAAATCATACCAGTCAATACTCAGTAAAAAGAAAAGAAGCAAACGACTAAAGATAACTTGCAAGGCTTTCCTTGCCTAGCTTTGTAAGTTTAGTACTTGTCATGTGCTAAAAAGAAAAGATAGTCTTTGCATTTTATCCTGCAAGGAAAGGAATGAAGGAAAATAATGCAGGATTGGATTAGTGATAGATCCAGGAGTTGTTATTTTTATATCTTTCCTTAAAATGGGGCTCCAGCTAAGTTGTATGACTACTTAAAGATTGGTAACTTTGTTTTCAGAAAGAAAGGAAGTACAGTGGTTCTGATTATATATCCCCAGCCATGACAGATCATTATCTGTCTATCTAGTATATGCCTATATGGCAGCCAATTACACTGTGTTTAAAAAAAAAAAAGTTTAGATGCAGATAACCAGGCTGAATTTATACTCACAGGGGTAGTTTCTAATTTTGGACTTCATGACTTTTTTTTTTTTAAAATATCATTTTAATGTAGCTTTTAATGCAATTAGAAAAAAATGAAGAAAAAGAAATTGCATATGCAAAATCAGAGTGATTCTCCCTCAACGTGGATTTTCAGAAGGGCTGAGTTCTTTTGCTCGCAGTGCGGTTATCTACCACATGAGCTGGGGAAGTAACTGAAGATGGAAGGTGGTTGACCTCTGTAGGAACCAGGCACCGGAGAGGGGAAGCGTGCCGGCGCTGGCAGGGCATGTTCAGATTCAGGGAGTACGAGTTCAGGTCTGGGACTTGTAGGGGACTGTCCTGCTGTGATTGGAGAGACCCTCCTGCACAGGTCGTCTGTTTTTTATTTTTGCTCTTACTCCCCCTTTCCAGTTCCTGCCCTTTTCTGCTCCTTGGCCACACTACCTTCACCCACTTGTCCAGCCCATTCGCGCTGCTTCTGTTTTTGCCACTACGTTGCTGTTTTCTTTTGTTCTTTTCCCCACATCCATATCGTTCCACCCTGCCTCTGTCCTTTCCACTTCTGTGTCTTCTGACCTTTCCTTGTAGCTATCTTCTCTTTCAAGATCCTTGTGGACCTTTTGTGCCAAGACCTCCTGATCCTGTCAATCCATCTGTTTCATGTTCTCTTAAAGCAGTCTTTCGTTCTTCCTCACCAGTGAGGTGATGGCAGTAGAAGCATAGTACACAAAAGAAGGACACGTTCCCAGCTGCTGGGTATATAGTCTTGATGCCACAGCAATCCCAGCAGTTGGGATGAACAATTTCGGAGACTATCCGTTCTGTCTCTGCAGCTGTGTTGGAGCATACTTACACTGTGGTTTCAAGCAATGTGGCCTTTTACAACAAAATCGGGGAAGTGTTACCGTTTGTAGCATCTTACCCTTTCAATAACCTTTTACGGGACTGAGTAGTGGTTCAAACTGGTGAACTGATCTGGCATCAAAGTATGTATTTATTGCTGGGTGGTGTTTTTTAGCTGAATAAGTTTTATTGGATCCATACAGAGGGGAAAACATATTTTAATTTGCCAGAAATACTTGGTGCTTTTTAGCTAATGTATCCCACCAAAAACTTAACCTTTGGAAGATACCCAGAATAGAAAATTCAGTCCAGTCTCTAAATTATGCACAACCTAATTGTGGAACAAGGCAGACAAATTTTATGTAACTCAAGTGTTAGCAATTTTGTTGTCTGATCTGTAATATCTGTGCACCTCTGCCACATGAAAATCTGTCAGTCATAGTGCCTCTACTACTGTGTAGCTGACATAACATGCATAGGGAATAATGAAGGTGCTTTATTTAGGATCCTCTCAGCTGTCCCTGTTATCTCATTCAACAGAACAACCTGCTAGTGATAGACTGGTGGTAATATTAATTTGTTTAAAGAAATTGAAAGGTAAAAGAGGTTCCTTTTATTTTGTTCTTTAAAAGATTCACTCCAGTAAATTAGACAAATATTATTTCAGATATCTAAGAAAGGCATCCTTGCTCTGTATTGGCTTGCTTTTGTTGTACCTGTATTTGGTTGAGATTCTTCATGTAATCTGTGAAATTCTTTGTGCCATTGTTTTAAACATGATGCAGTGAGATTTGATGCAGTGATTCATTTTGTGCTTACAGCAACTTGAGGCAGATGAGATACAATTGTAACTTCTGCAGCAGAAGGCTATTGACTTGCCTGATCCCTTTACTAGAATTGTTCTGAATCATGGGTGCCATTGCCTGATTTGCACCTTTGCAAGTATATGTAAATACAGAGTATTGCCATTCGGTCTTAGGTCCCCAGAAGTGCTGGTGACCTACTTGAGTATCTTAGCTAACAGAATAGGAGCTTTTGCCTCTTCACATTTTATACATTTCAGAAGGCAGTATTTTTCTTATTTTTTGATGTGTAATTTCTGAAAAGGATCTTACGATGTCTGAATTATAGTAAAGCATCTGAGAGCTCCAAGTCTTTGTCCTGGGGAGGTGTTGGGTTTTCTGTTGCTAGATTGATGCTTTCTACTGTGGAAGGCAAGAGATCCTCATTTGTGAATTCTCTGGGAAAGCTAGAAGGAGCTGGCAGGTCCATAATTTGTTTCCATGGTTTTCCAGGACATCTGGGTAGAGGAGATTCTGAGCGATCTGGCAACCCATTAAATAAAGAAGTATCGGGAAGAATTAGTGGTTCTGCAGGTGCACTGGTTTCCTTTCTTGCAACCCCTCTATCAACTAGCTCTGCTGCTGTTTCAGCACTAGATGATGGGAGGGTTTCATTTTGATTAAAAATCCTTTCATTGGACTCCTCAGAAGATTTGGGGTTTGGATGTTTATGTTTACCATGTTTACTGTGGGTTTTATGCTCACACCCATGGCCATGGTCAGTTCTGTGCTTACAACCAATTTCATGGCTATGCGTTTTGCCAGATTCATGATCCTTTCTATGGTTATGCCCGTGTTTATGCCCGTGTTTATGCCCGTGTTTATGCCCGTGTTTATGCCCGTGTTTATGCCCGTGTTTATGCCCGTGTTTATGCCCAGGTTCACCTTCACCTTCTGGTTCCTGTCCACCATCTTTTCTTGTTTCTTTGCCAAGTCTTTGCCTTTCTTCTTCATTTGTATTGGAGCATAAAATTTCATTTGGCTGGTCTAGCTTAGCAAAGCTTCGAAAAGGTGTGAATCCAGGAGGCCGCCTTAGAAGTGTAGTCTGAAAAACATTGCAATAATAGCCATATTTGTTACGTGAACAAGAACAATAGCTTCAGGTTTGGGAAATTCAGAAGTTGGCTCATCGCAGTACATAAGTCATTTAGCAAAAATACGTTATCAGATTTTTAAAATAAACTACGGAATTCTTTTCTATCTGTGATAAGCATGGAAACATAAACATCCTCCCAAATAACCCCAGAGTATTTTAGCAGTTATATGTTAAAAGAACAATTTATATATCACTGAAATTCTGCCAGTTTAACATGGAAATGATACTATAGAGAGGAAAACGTGTACTGGTTTTAATTTATGAACAATACAGTTCATTTCTAGAACTTAATGTCCCTGTGCTTTATATGCTCTGATGTATAAAACCAATTTATACTAAAGGCTAACGCATTTCTCAGTAGTCTCAATACCAGAATATGCAAAAGATCTGTGTTGTTTTGTTATATGAAATGTAACTATTCAGGTTTTTGTTTCTAGATTTGACATATGAATTTCATAAGACTGCTTAGAAAGAAGATACAGGTTAAAGCTGATAATATGAAACATTCAGTTGTTATTGAGTAATCTCTATTTTCCCATCACTCTTCAACTGGAAGACAAAGACTGAATGCATGGTGTACAGTCACTACCCGACATGGGTTTCCTTTCTGTCCACCAAAGTGTCTGATCATTATCTAGCTGCAAATCAGAGTTGTTTGGGATGGAGCTAAATCTGAAAGTTGATGTGGATACAATGTTGTAGTGAAAATGAAGAGGAGGGACATTATTAATTCATACATAATGAATGAATAGGTAGTTATGAAGGCACTGAGTACAGTGAAGCAATATTATGAATGCAAGTTAATCAATCTCACTTTATTCAGTGTATCTTCTCCATGGGGGAGCATAAGAGTCCCTGCATTTATTACAAAACCTGCAATCATCAGAACTAAAAAAGTTCTGATGATAAAGATTTATATTCTTTATATACTTATGATTTATATACTTATGATGGGTAATGAAGAGGAATCATACCGCTATCAGGTCTTTAGAGCAGTTAACGTGAGGAAAGATTTTATTCTCCCATGGGATCACATGAATTTGTGCTTCACATCGCAATGGTGCCTGTGGGCAAAACAAAAATCAACACATTAAGGCAATAAAACATCAGACACAAAGGAAGAAAGCTGTGCATAAAAAAAGTTATTTTTTTAATAATACTTTTACATACAAATGTACTTGGAACTTTACCCAAATTTCTATGAAATCCATCTTGGTGATGGAGACTTCTGTATTGGGACACATCACTGCTTAGCTTTTTGAGGTTATAGTATGCCTGTGTGAACACTTTAACTTAGCTTTGGATTAGAGATTGGATCTTGAAAAATTGGATTTTTCATCTCCAGCGCTTTTGGAGCACTAACTGTTTAATCTTCATGATGTTCATAAGAAATATTGTTTGTTGATGGTATTTCCCCTACTAAAAATTGGGAAATTGAGATGGAGAGCAAGGCTTTTTTTCCTGTTTAGTGCCTGGTGCTCTAGCAGATTTTAAAATCTCCCAGGTAAGCACTGTTTATATGGTGGGAAGAGAGAGAGGAAATAAAGCCTCTCTTTCCCAACCACCTCCCTTGCCAATGGTTTCTGGCCCTATCAGCATTACTTTCCAGTGTCTGGAACACATTTTCCTGGTATCAGCAGCATGCGCTCCAGAAACATCATTTCTTTGCACACCAGTAACGCTCCAATCTCATGTTTTCCTCAGCTGCAAGTCCATGGAGCCAGGAGTATTGCAGCTATTTCATTTCGCAGCAGCCTCCTCCCCTTCTTTCTTTGATGCGTTATTCTCAGCAGGACGTTCCTTTCCCTTTGCTGATCAGGGAGCGCTGGTCCTGCAGTTGGAGTGACTCAGTTTAAGCTTTGTGTTTTCCTAACGTTGTCACTGGCTTGGGTTACAAACAGTGAAAGGTGTCCTTCTGGTTGAAATGAAAGTTTACTGAAAGAGGTAACAGAACTCGGGATGTGATTTTTACTGAAGTGTTTACAATTTCTGGTGCAAATTAATTTGTCCATTAGGAACATTACAGTTGGCAACATCATCGTACTTACACTGTCTGACGTGGCTTCACAGTCTTCGTTAAGTTTTTCAAACTCTTTCTTTGAACAGTTTGTCTTCCAGACTGCAAATGTTAAATGGTAGTTTTGTCCTGCAACGACCTGGAAAATTAGCAAGAAGGCTTTCTGTGGTAAAGGCATTTTATTGAAAAGAGTTTACAGGAAAGATGTTTTACTACAAGCTTATACTACTTATATTCTACAAGTCTTGACCACTGAGACAACACATGTTAAGAACAGTATTAAAACATTTGGCAGCAGACCTGTCTGCTTCTAATCAACTTACTTATTCATGCCAGTTCCAATTCTCAGAAATTTCAGCATTGAAATGGAAGGAAACAAAGGTCAGAATAATATCGGGCCCACAGTTTTGGCTTTGTTTTATTGGATGCCTGTAGTAACTTCATTAATAACAAATGAAATCATTAGAGATACTGCTGTAGAGAGCCAAATATGATGTAAGAAAAGTAGAATGTGAGTAAAATGAAGTGTGTGATGAACAGGCTCAGTTGAAAATGAACATATTTGCCAAATGCATTAAGGAGAGAAACTGCATGAGTACAAGTATGTGCCTGGTACGAGTTCTCTTAGCATTTTTTACAGAGCCCAAGATATATCTTGCTTCAGAGACAGCAGGCAAAACATGAAATTCTGTCTCTTACGTCTATTTTAAAAATGTATGCATGCTAATATCAATCATGGTATGAAAAGTGAGAAAGAAGAAAAAAGCTTGAAAGAGGAAAAAAGGTTTAAAAGAAGAAAAAGTACAGACATTATTAGTAAGATAGTGTGAGCCATTCAGAAAAAGCTCTGATGCGCTTTTGGTGCCTTCTCCAGTGGTAGCCCTCATGCTCAGGAGAAGTTGTTGACAAAGTATTTTGTGAACTACTCCACTGTCTTATTTTCAGTTCTGTCCTAAACATTTGTTTTGATATGTTGGGACAGTAAACAAGGCAAATGCTGACTGATATTATCCTCTTGATTGCTTGTTCTTCTTTATCCAGATGTATTTATCTGTATATCTTAACTTTTGCACAGATGTTCTCTCTGAATCTAGCTGGAGTATTACTAGCAGCAGAATCAGTATATAAATTAACAGATTTCTAAGGGAAATTGGGAAGCCCTGCTTCTTGGAGCTTACAGGTACTGTAGGGTGGACAGTGCCTAAAATAATATGCAGAGGATTGGAGTGATGGATCAAGTGTGTGGTTTTGCCTAATAAATCTTTTCTACTTTAAAAGTCTAAGGCATGTTACAAAGGCTGGTAAAAAATGGGGTAGATATACAGAAATCAGATACCCCAAGCCAACCTTCTTCCCATGCTTTTAAAATCATGTTGTTTTAAGAAAAATAAATTGAGAGATGAGAGATTTTTAAATCACTTCTGAATGTAAGCCAAGATGGATAAAATTTTGCAAGAAAAATTGCATGGATATTTCAGTTACCGCATGTATCAACACTGAGAGAAAACCATTATTTCAAACCTAATCACAAACTTTAGCTGACATTCAGCTCAGACCAATAACGCTGCCATGTCTGGTCCTCATCTCTGTGGTATATCCCAACCTGAACTGTCGCTGCTTCTATTTCTCCACTTTTATAGTAGAAGTCATCGCTGCTCTCCAAATTATACTTCTCCATAGAAACCTTCAGTAGTTCCTTCAGTTGTGGACTGTCTTTTGGGACAGTTTTCAGACAACCAGTGCAAGTGTAAGGAATTACCGTGTCTTCAACTGAAAGAAACCAACAGATTTCAGATCTAAGGAACAAAAGATTCAACATAGATACAGGCTAGGAAAAACAGTTGGTTATAACCCCCTGCCTTCTGGAATGCTTTGTATTTGAGTCTATCAAATGAAACCAAAATATCTGAGTTTTATATGATCAACAGTATCATATCTTGGTTATCTAAAAGAGCACTGCATCAGCACCTAGTATCGCATTGGCCATCTAACAACAGTTTTCTCATAGAAACAAGAATTGTGTGTACCAGTTGCGGGTAGCTAGCAAATAGAGGGAACATCTATCCATACGGAAGGTCCTAAATGAGGTGAAACAAGAGGTGCATGTTATTGGCAATGAATGAGTGTGGTGAAGAATATCATTATCATTTCTTGAAGAAAACAAAGTCTGAATGGGTGAGAATGCAGCACTTACTACATGGAGTAGTACTGTACTCCCTGTTCTAAAGCTCTGTGACAATCTGTGTCCAAATAGATGGCTGGAGGGAAAACTAACAATAAGAAAACCATCTGGGAGTTAGAATGTATAAGTTCATTACAGTCAAAGTAATTTATTTACTAGGGAAAAAAAACCAAGCTTCTAACATATCAAATGTAAGTGTAGCCATGCAATATATATTAAAAAAAAGTGATGGTATCATAGGTGAGTTATCAATTTTGGACAAAATCTTGAAGTCCTCAGCTCCTTTGCCTTTCAAAAGAATATATTGGAGCTCTTTGGAAAGTTAGAAGTTACTTATTTAAAAAACATGATACTAACTCGCTTGATGTTGTGGTGGAAAAGGAATCAATTTTTGTAGGACAGTTACACTCTTTGAGTTTGTATCTGTTAATTGCCAAATGAGAGTCAGCAACTAGCTCCATGTCGTACAAATAGGGCAGTACATAAATGATGAAATGCAACTTTCAGCTGCACATAAAATACTTGTAGGAAGTGAAAAAATCCTGTGGTAATATTTCATTACGAGGCAGTGCTTTTTTGGTCCCAGAAGAATTACTTTCTTGTTATTATCTGTTTTCATCTCTTGCATTTATAGTTTGTCTTTTTTCACAATTGTAAAAAAAAACATTGAAAATTGCAGAACTTTTAAAATTGATAGTGCCTATTACGTACCTGGAAGCTTGCATTGGTTTGCAACGTCTACAATCTGCGCATGAAGATTTTCATATGCTTTGGCATCACATTTAGCTACACGCTGGAGTAAAAAACCCAAACAGCTTATTATTATTTAGAAATAATGAACAAGCTCACATCCTAATACCTTCCTGCTAACAGAAGAAGTCAAGCATATACTACTAATTCCTTCCTGCCTTCAATATAGTGGGAGCAAGAGGCCTGACAGACAGTCTGCAAAGCCAATAAACGCTCAGGGTTCAAAAGGACACTCGGAGAAAATAAAATCGTAAAAGAGAAGCTAAATGAACGATTTGTATGTGTTCGTTACAGAAGGAAATGGGGAGGTTTACAAGCTAGAATCCTATTTTATGGAGAACTCACTGGAATTTCTGTCTCGAACTGTAAAGCCCAAAAAGAAGACTATACAATTAACAAACCAAACATTGCTGAGTTTCTTGTATTTACTCAGGTGTTCTAAAGGAACTGTGGTAGATGACTTGCTTAAAATTGCCTCAATATCTTAGGGCTGGAAGACAGCAGATTTTGATCCTGTTCTTTTTTTTTTTTTTTTTTTTAAAAAGGTTATAGACCCATAAAACTGGTGTCTGTACTATTGAAGTGATTACAAATGGTAATAAGGAAGGAACTAGGAGTATGAATACATGAAGGAGACACCAGGGTTTTTGTTGTAAACAGAAGTTGTATTTTGCAGATTTGTCAAAGTTCTTCAAAAGTGTCAATAACAGTGGGTAGAGAGACCTGTTGATAAAATATACGTAGGTTTTCAAAAAGGTTTCAGTGAAGTCCCTTATCAAAGACTCTAAAGGAAACTAATCAACTGTAGGATAAGAAGGAAGACTGTTACAAGTCAGGGTCAATACCTTGGGGCTATGACAGATACTTGAATGTCATCCATGAAAAAAATCTTCTTAGTAGCGGTTTAGAAAAAATAATAAAAATATAATGTCGAGGTTTATTCTCCAGCTTAAAGAGAATGACATTATGCCCCACTGTAGCACTGTGGTTCACATGCAGGGTGCAGTTCTGGTCCTCCCATTTCAAAATGAATAGTACAGAGCTGAATAAAGCTACGGAACAATTTCCATGGAATTTGGCCATTCCAAGGTATGGAACGTTCTTGGAATATCATGTTCTAATAATATCTGTCCCTGACCTATTAGCAGGGCTGCTGAACAATTCAGGAGGTAAGTGATAAAGATCCTATCTCACAAACCCTGCGTGATCAAAGCGGTATGTGAATGAGGTAGCGCTCCCGCATTGTGTGAGGTGAACAGAAGTCACTACCTCTAGGTGACAGGCTGGGAAACTCGGACTCGAGCAGGTTAACAAACTTCCTTAATGTTTAAGGGCAAACATGGGTAATGGAGAGATTTGCTTCAGCTAATCTGATTCTCACTCTCCTATTATTTATGACAGCATTGTTATTCTTTGCTTTTTTGATCAATGCTTCTGAAACATTCTCGAGACATCCAAGGAGTAATTTTGGAACAGGAGAGGCTCTTGAATGTAACACTCAGCTGCACCTCCGCAACAGAAACAGCTACGAGCCAGGACTCCCGTGGTTCCTCCCCTCCCGTTTGCCACCCCTCTTCCTTACGACTCTCCGTTCCTGCCCTCTGCCTTGTATTGGCAGAAGCATTTGTCTGACCCCATGGAGAGCTGGTTCAGGGAGGCTGGTTGAGCGAGCAACCTTTTATTTTTGGTGCGATTAATCCTGTTCCAGGTCAGAGGAGCAGAGGCAGTACCTGGTTTTGCAACACTGTTTAGCTAGAGTATGTATGTTTGTTAATGAATTTCTTCTGAAGCTCTCTTATTTGGACTGCGGTATTACCGTTAAGTAATAATTCAGCTACTTACGTTTCTTAGAAAATATGTCTTAAGCTGGAAAAACAGCGCTAATTAGAATTGTTGCTTTTTGGGTTGTACCTGAGTAATTCCTTGAATATCTGGATAGGAACTTCTCAAGGGATTTATTATTTGGGCGAGACTGTTTAGATTCTATAGTCATCTGTAAACATTTCAGTGGTCATCATAGTCGCTGATTGAGAAGGCGTAGATGTTCTTATTGCATGAATAGACAGTTGTCTGTAAGCCTGGATTTAAACTTCATTCACAAAGTGAAGCAAGACTATGAATATTTGGATCAGATCTCAATGTTTGTTTGTTAATATGATATTTTCTTGATAAACAGATTTTAAAGAATACTTACACCACTAGAAGTGGTTTTGCACTCTGGAGTTAAATCTTGAAATTGGTCTTTGGAGCAATTAGTCTCCTTGATTTCATATTTAATTACGTAGTTCCATCCAGCTACCACCTGGAACAGGTATTTAAGAGATATGTTATGTAAACCCGTAGAAACTTGGAAGTTAAACTATTCAGTGTGATTAGCAAAGAAAGCAAAACTACTCCCCTAGTGCCTTCCATCCATCAAATCACTGTGCAGTCATTAAGCCACAGAGTATTCGCAGACAGAAAAAAAAAAAAAATCTTGTCCTTGTAATACAAAAAGTAAATAAGTCCTGCATATATTAGAAGTGCACTTTGTATTTGGATTCCACTTCTCCTGGCAAGCCAGCAGCCTTATAACGCTTGGTTGTTTGCACTGTCTTCCAAAGTATCTGTTACTTATTACTCCTAGTGACAGAAAGCTGGTCTAGATAGATGACTGTACTAATACAGCTTGGCAAGTCCTGCATTCCTGAGCGCAGGATGTAGTAAAACAGTATCTGAATAATGTAACTTTATACTACTGGCATCATTTGTTATTGAGTGTGCTGCATTTATCTGCCTATAATTGTGTCTGCCTTGGGCTTTACCTTCCCCCGCCCGCTGTTTTGTCCAGATTTGTGACCCTTTTCTTCATTTTCTCTCCAGGAGGCAGTTCACTTTTCCTCACTGTGGCTACTGCTTCTCACCCATGAAATCTCTCCGTGTCACAGTGTTGGGTCATGTAGCATTGGGTTAAAAAGGGGAATTAAGAATCAAATATAGGAACCTTCCATCCCAGATCAATTAAGGTGGAGGGCTCTTGCTAGTCTCTGTTGGCCAGAAGTGATATGATGGTTCTCTTTCCAGCTGCTGGATTGCAGCCTGTCTGTGACATTTTGTCATGTGGCTTAAATGTTGTGCAAGCTTGTCTTTCAGCTAAGAGGATCGTTGCCATCAGTAAATAGAAAGAGGAAAGTCTGACTTAAATCATGGTTAAATTGATATGAGACCAGAAGATGTTTTTTGGCTAAGTAAATACATACACATTCAAAGAAAAGGGTCTGTATTTGGCATCAGGTTATATACTAGTTAAAAACCAAATAAGAAACTTTCTAACAATGTCATACCAATCCACAGGAGAGCCTTTCACAGGAATAGTGTGGTCAGTAGGACCAGGGAGGTGATGGTCCCCCTGTACTTGGCACTGGTGAGGCTGCACCTCAAATCCTGTGTTCAGTGTTGGGCCCCTCACTACAAGAAGGACATCGAGGTGCTGGAGCGTGTCCAGAGAAGGGCAATGAAGCTGGTGAAGGGTCTGGAGCACAAGTCTTATGAGGAGCGGCTGAGGGAGCTGGGGTTGTTTAGCCTGGAGAAGAGGAGGCTGAGGGGAGACCTTATCACTCT